GCAGTGGCAGTATCAATGGGCTCAAGTGTAGCAGCAATTGTGAGGCTGACCCAGGACAAGACAGTGTTTTGTTCTGTTGTACATAGGGTTGCTATGAGTTGGTACTGACTCAATGACACCTAACAACAACATGAAGCATAGTTAAAACTTTATTTATTTATGTATTGCTTTCCTTGTCACTCTAATTAACACGTAGCTACCCTCTGGCCAAGAGCCGACTCGACGGCACTTAACAACAACAACAACCCTCTGGCCAAGGAGCTCGGGTAGTGTAGTAGGTTACAAGTTGGGCTGCTAACCGCAAAGTCAGCAGTTAAAATCTATCAGCTGTTCCAAGGGAAAAAAATGGCTTTCTGCTCCCTTAAGATTTACAGCCTCAGAAACCCTGTACAGGGTAGCTATGAGTTGGAATCAACTCCACAGCACATAACAACCACCACCACTCTCTGGCCAGTTAATTATTTTCCCTTCCCTCTCACCCTTGGGAAAAATCAAAGAATGTTACTTTTAGCATGAAAACTTTTTCTAGAATTTTAATAATAATAATAGTTGTCTTTTTGTGATTGAGTCCTGGTAAATGCGCTGGACTTCAAGGTCGGGTTGAACCACAAGCTTGGCAGTTCAAGCTCACCAGCAGCTCCTTGGAAACCCTATACAGGGTTGCTATCAGTCAGAAGTGGCTCAACAGCACTTAACAACAACAAATTTCACTCAAGATAATGTCCTCTAGGTTCATCCATGTTATAGGTGCTTTTCAGTTTCAACATTCATCATTATTCTTCAACGTTCGGTAGTATTCCATTGTGTGTATATATCGAAGTTTGCTTATGCAGTCTTCCAGTGGTGGGCATGCAGACTGTCTCATCTTTTTGCTCTTATGAACAGTGATGCAATGAACAAGAGTGTACATAAATAAATAAATACATATGTCCAGCTTCCTCGTGAGCACAATTATTGTGTTCTGAAATATCCATAGTTTGTCATGGTCCACAGAGCCAATGACTTTGCATAGCCAATAAAGCACAAGAGTCCTGGTGTGGCGCTGTGGGTTAATGTGCTGGACTGCAAAGCTGTCTGAACCGCAAGGTCGAAGGTTCAAGCTCACCAGTCGCTCTTTGGAAACCCTATGCAGGGTTGCTATGTGTCGGAACCTACTTGATAGCACTTAACACCAACAACAAACATTCCTATGTGCTTTCTTGTTGTAGTCGATTCCGATTCATAGCGATCTCGTATAGGGTTTCCAAGAGTTCTTGGAAGGCGCTGTAGAATAAGCACTGGACTGCTAACCGCAAAGTCTGCGGTTCAAACACACCAGCTGCTCCTCAGAATCTCTACACATGGTCGCTTTGAGTCTGAACCGACTCCACGGCACTTAAACAACAGGGTTTCCAAGGAGTGACTGGTGGGTTTGGACCACCAACCTTGTGGTTAGCATTCCAGGGTTTATAAAAAGGAGCCGGTATCTTGCTTACTAGATAGAGTTGTTGGGATAATCAAGACTGTACATTTCACATTGCGCATGCGTATGTCTAGGCCCCAAGTATACCGCAATGAGGAGTCTCAGCGCCCTGGCGGAACTGGTCATCGCGGAACTATTTTTTCCGGTCTTCGGGTGCCCTGGTCTACCCGGCAGGAAATGCGTCAAGGACCGCGCCGCGCCGCCGCAGTCGGGCTTCGGTCGCCACGGTAACGCCAGCAAGGCAGGTGTCCCCGCCATGAGTGTCCGGGTCGCGCGGGCCGCGTGGGCCCGAGGCTGGGGTGCCAGCTACCCTCGCGGCGCCTCGAGCTTCCGCGTGCCTCCGCCGGGCCCTGAGAGTGTTACTGAACTGCTGCGGGACGCGGCGGTGGAAGATGAGGCTGGCGTAGCGACGGCGCGCCGGTCGCCGGGTCAGTGCTCCGTGCTGCTCTTTCCGGGCCAGGGCAGCCAGGTGGTGGGCATGGGTCGGGGCCTGCTCCGCTACCCGCGCGTTCGCGAGCTCTACGCCGCCGCCCAGCGCGTGCTCGGCTACGATCTGCTGGAGCTGAGTCTGCACGGGCCGCAGGAGGCCCTGGACCGCACCGTGCACTGCCAGCCCGCCGTCTTCGTGGCGTCACTGGCCGCGGTCGAGAAACTCAATCATCTGCAACCGGAGGTAAGGCCCCAAGCCCCGGGGCAACCAGGAGAGGGCGAGCCCATCCCGGGCTGTAGCCCGGAGCGCTCCGTCAGACACGGTTGCTACTGAGCACCGACTGGTTCGAGCTCTGTGGACTAAACAAGGATCTCTGTCCCAGGAGAGCTTGCTTCTTAATGGAGGGGGACAGACAATAAAGAATAAATATGCTACGTAAATGATGTAGTACATTAAAGGTGCTAACACGTCGTGAAAAGGAACCTAGAGCAGGAAAAGGGGGTGGGAGTAGCGTTCAGGTTGCAACTTAAATTGGGAGGTCAGGGAAGGATCATGGAGAAGGTTTATCTTTGAAAATGGCACTTCACTTGAAGATGGGTGAATTGATGGCGTAGTGGTTACGAATCGGGTTGCTAATTTCATGGTCATCAGTTCAAAACTACCAGCTGCTCCGTGGGAGAAAGATGAGGCTTTCTGCTCCCGTAAAGATTTACAGCCTCGAAAACCCTGTACAGGGGCGGCTATGCGTCGGAACGGACTCCACAGCACATAACAACAGCAGTACAGTCTTGACGGAACAAAATACTGTGTGGACTTGAATCATCCTCACCACCGATGCTGTTGGAGCCCAGTGTTGTGGCCGCTGTCATTCTGTCTCGTTGAGGGTCTTCTTTTTTGCTGACCCTCTACTGTATGAAGCATGATGTCCTTCTCCAGGATCTGGTTCCTAATCTCTCCTGATATAACATGTCCAAAGTACATGAGACAAATACTTGCTTCTAAGGACCATTCTTACTGTAGTCTTCCAAGACAAATTGATTCTTGCAGTTCATGACATATTCAGTATTCTTAACCAACACCACAATTGAAACGCATTCAGCATTTCTTTTTTCCATCTTCCTTATTCATTGTCCAGCATTCACATGCATAAGGTGATTGAAAATACCATAGCTCGAGTCAGGTGCACCTCAGTCCTCAAAGTGACTTTGCTTTTTAACATGTTAAAGACTTTTTTGCAACAGATTTGCCCAGTGCAATACTTTGTTTGATTTCTTGACTGCCGCTTCCATGGGTGTTGATGGTGGATCTGAGTGAAATGAAATCCTTGATACTTTCAGTCTTAGTTTACCCTGCTGTGGCTTACTGGTCCACTTACGAGAGTCTTGGTTTGTTTTTGTTGCTGTTGAGGTATGATCCCCACATTTTAAGTCTTTGATTTTCATCAGTAAGTTCAAGACCTCTTTGTTTTCATCAAGCAAGGTTGTGTCATCTGCATACTCACCTAATTCTCCCAGCAGCCCTGGGAGGTAGGGTGTACTCTACCCCCACTTCACAGGTGACACAACTGACGAGCAGAGAAGGTAGGGAATGCCCCTAAACTAAGGCTCAATTCCAGGTCTTTCATCTGAAAGTCAGGTTTTCGATGTCTGTTGTTGTGATGTGCCGTGGAGTCCGTTCCAACCCACAGCGACCCTGTACAGGGTGTCTGAGGCTGTAAATCTTTACGGGAGCAGAAAGCCTCATCTTTCTCCCGCGGAACAGCTGGTAGTTTCAAACTGCTGACCATGAGGTTTGCAGCTCGATTCGTAACCACTACGCTACCAGAGCTCCTTTTTCAATGTCTACACGTAACCATTTTGGCTCTGCTTGGCCTGAGTAGCAGTTCCAGGGAGAAGAGAGTCTGGGTTGGAAAATTCTGAGTCCTGAGGTGAAGTCACAACCCCACCACAAGGTGTCAGCCAAGGCTTGTCCTTACCCTGCAGGGAAGTTCCTCACCCAGTAAAGGAGCTGGTGATCCAAGAGGCCATGTCTGTGTGTCTCCTAACTGGAGCCCTAGCCAGCGGGATCTGACTCACTGAGCCCCGAACACCCTTCCACCTCTCAGATGTGGAGCCCTAAAGTGAGCTCCCCTGAATCCGCTTCACGTATTGTTTCTGTCACCATAGGTCATCGAAAACTGTGTGGCTGCAGCTGGATTCAGCGTGGGCGAATTTGCGGCCCTGGTATTTGCTGGAGCCATGGAGTTTTCTGAAGGTACCTAGGAAGGGTTTACTTGCATGCAGGGCTGGGGTCTTGTTGGATTCACTGGGAACACAAGCCACTGCTAGAAAAGATCAGGGGTCCACTTGGGTACTGGGCTGGAGTTGACATTGGAACCCCAAGACCAGGCAGGCCATCCTTGATCTCCTTTTTAATTTCTTTATGAAATCTGCTTTCTTGCTTGTCTTCCTTCATTCCAGGGACGACCCCCACGTTTGGCATGCAGCAGTTACTTGATAGATACTCCTTGAAGGAAAAGCAGGCAAATGTATATTTATTCTTGAACCATACTTTTTTTGCTGAGATTTTCGTTTATATTTAAGATATTTACAACAGCATGGTGTCTCTGTTAAGGAGAAGAGGAAGAAGCCTCATTTATATTCACAGATTCTGTGAAAACTATGACTTGTATGGTTAGATGTGTAGATAATGTACAGGATTTTAGCTTTCAGGCAGTTCCTGGGTTACAAATGTTTGATTGACAGGCAATTCCAATTCCTACTTGCCCTTTAAGCCAGTTCTTGCATGCCTGAGGAACAGATCCAGAATTTTACAATTTGGCCGATTCATCGTGGTACTGGAAAGAAAACATTCCAGTTCAAAGCCCTGGAATGGGAGACTCGGAAGAGGCGTAGTGAGCTCTTTTCTGAGCCTGATGGGAGAGACTGGGGTCTTGTCAGGACTCTGGAGCGCGGCGCCCATTCACAACCTGCTGTCAGCCGGCGTCTTGCAGCAGGGCAGCACTGCTTCTGTCTCTTGGCTCAGAATCCTCCGAGCGGTCCGGTTACTATGCAGCGTGCTGTCCTTCTTCTGTAAGATGATGTTTCTAGCAGGGCTTCAACCTGCCACTGTCCCCGTTCTCGCCATCTTTCTGTTTCACCCTGACTTGAAATACTCGGATCTCTTCTGTTGACTCTTCCTCAGCCATGACTGAACAGAGACCCCAGGGACAGTCTGTATTTGCAGTTTTCAGGTTTTTTTCACTTGATGTTTGTGCATAATCATTGCTCTCGTGCCTGTGTGGGAGCTGAGAGGTTTTCTCTGTGTCCTTGGGCGTGTCTTGTTGCTTCTGTCACAGCCCTTAATGTCCAAGGTCCAGAATTGCCCTTGTATATGGAGTCCTGGTGTGGCGCTGTAACGTAAGCATTTGACTGCTAACTGAAAACTGCTCCTGGGAAACCCGGTACAAGGTTGAAATGAATTGAAGCCGCTTGACAATTGACAACAACATACGGAGCTAAACAACCCAACCCACCAACACGCAGGAGTGTGGAGTGACTGAGGTTGTGCTACAGAGAAAAGGGCAGGATCAGCTCCTCGGACCTTCTCGAACCCTGAACTACACCTTTGGCCTGGTCATTCCTCCGGCTCCCAGAAAGACTGTCCAGGCCCGGCCCTGTGCACACGTGACCGAGCCCGTGTGCCATGCAGACCCAGGAAGCATGGTTCCCTTTCAGTTGGATCACCTGGTGGTGTCAGGTTCGCCAGGTGTAAACGGGGCTGTATGTGAGTCGGTGAGATTTCAAATGATGCACAGCTGCCCTCGTATTTCATGGCTCGTCATGGTTTTCCCTCTTCAACATGTTATTGTTGTTAAGTGCCATCGAGTTGGTTCCGACCCATAGCAACTCTGTATAGGGTTTCTGAGGAGCAGCTGATGAGCTTGAACCGCCGACCTTGCAGTTCAATTTGCAGTTTGGTGCATTAACCCACAGCGCCCCACCAGGACTCTGACCTCTCTGAAACAGCAAATCCATACTCACGATCCCTGGTCTTCATGCCACCCGGGCCACCTGGATACCGTTAGCTTCACTGTCCTGGTTACAGAATTGGAACTTGAAAGTGATTGTGACTTGCCCAAGATAGTGTGGCTCAGTGTGTCTTCCTCCCTTCCCTCCCCAGTTGCCTCGTCACTGGTCCTCCTGACACTTTGGACGGGGGCATTCTCTGGTGGGGAACTGCCCGGTGTATTATGGGATGTTGTGCAGCATCCCTGGCCTCTACCCACCAGATGCCAGTTGTGCCAACCCAAAGAAGGCCTGTCCCCCATTGAGAACCACTCCCAAACTCATCTAGTTTGTAAGGTGGGAACCCTCTTAGTTGAACTGAGTGAGCCAAGGACAGCTCCCCAACTGGAGAATTGGTCAGTTGGTGATTTTTCAGGTCTGGGTCTCCCTCCAGCCTCCCGTACCCTGACTTTTCCAAATGTTCCTCTCTCTGGGCAGGTTTGTACGCGGTGAAAATCCGAGCCGAGGCCATGCAGGAGGCCTCGGAAGCTGTCCCCAGCGGGATGCTGTCTGTCCTTGGCAAACCCCAGTCCAAGTTCAACATGGCCTGTTTGGAAGCCCGGGAGCACTGCAAGGCTTTGGGCATAGAGAATCCTGTGTGCGAAGTGGCCAACTACCTCTTCCCGGACTGCAGGGTAATTTCTGGACACCACGAGGTTAGTGTTGGCGGGAATGGCCTCCAGGCCCCCAGCTGGAGGCCAGCTGTGTAGTGGGGGCCCCACCAAGCCCGGGTGTCTGAGGAGTGTGTGCTAGAGGGACCCTGTGGAATACTGGCCCCTTTCCACACATCTACAGACCCTGAGCACATCACCCTCCTCCACACCCCCACAGACCCTGAGCACCTCACCGTCTTCCACATGTAAGGGAGAGAGGTCGGACCAGACCATGTCCGAGGCTGTCCTGTACAGTAGCCTGGACTCGCATGATTGGACCCGAGAGCTCTGCTGGTGCCTTCAGCCCACCCTGCTTTCCTCAGCTGTCTGAGTTCTTTGCTTCTGTTCTCAGCTTCCCCAAACACCATTTATTGGCATCTCCTCTAAGGAGTTCTGGAGGCCCCAGATTTGTCAGCATGGCTGCTGCCTTCAGCAAATAGTCTGTGAAGGGCTAACTCCAGGGTCAGGGGCATGTTTTCCAGGAGGAGGGGTGTTCCAGGCAGAGGGGCAGGGACCCCTGATGGAAAGGGGTGTTCTGTACTGGGGAACACAGACGGAAGCCTAAGGGAGGCGGTCTGCTCAGACAAGCCCTGGTCAGCCCTCACAGGCAGCCCTGTGAGGATGGGATTCCTTCTCACACTTTAGACACGAGGAAGCTGAGGAGGTTGGAAGGCGCACGAGCTGGAGCGTGGGAGAGGGCACCCACGTCTCTTTGTTGCTAGTCTGTTCCCTCCACTGGACCATGGCAGACCTCGCCTGTGGTCGAGGTTTCCCCAGTCAGTGAGCGCCCCCAGACCCCTCTTGGTACAGTTCTGAAATGAGGGGGTGGTGGTGGTTGTTAAGTGCCATTGAGTCCGTACCAATTCACAGTGACCCTGTATAGGGTTTCCAAGAAGCAGCTGTTGAGTTTGGACCCCTGTGTATACATATATATAGGGGGGTACTTCAGAGAAATGGCTCACACAGTTGTGGGGTTTGGTAAGTCCCAAGTCCCCGGGCTCACCTCAGAGTGCTGACTGATTTAGGCTCAGAGACGTGCCGTCTGACCCAAACCACTCCTCCCTCCTACCCCAGGGGACACGGCAGACGCTGTTTCTCTTTTGTCCTTAGTGGACTCCACTCTTTTGGTGTACAAGATGCTCATTGCCAATCTTTATGTAGCATGTAGAGCACATGGTGGCTCTGTTGGTTAAGCATGGGATGGGACCACAAACCACAAGGTCAGTGGTTCGAGCTCATTAGCTACTCCACAGGAGAAAGATGAGACTTTCTGCGCCTGCTAAGATTGACAGTTTGGCTGTAAGTGGGCACCAACTCAACAGCACTTAACATAAAGCGTGCACGTGCCCACAGTTGGTTCTCACCATAGCCTTGAAAGGCGGCTGTGGGCGTGCCCTGTGCCATGTTTACAGACTGAAGGTTTGCAGTGACCCTGCGTTGGGCAAGTCTGCGTCATTTTCCCAGGTGTACATGCTCACCCGTGTCTCTGTGCCACGTTTTGGTCATTCTCATGTTGCCCGCTGCAGACATCACAACTCTGAGGGGGCTCGTCAGCACTGGGCCATGATGCTGGTGAGACCTCCCAAGTCTGATGACTCATAGGTGGCCCCGCACCTGGACAGCCTTCTGTCTGGGGTTTCAGGCTAGAAGGGCTCAGCTTGCAGAAAGGGCTGGGGGTGGGGGTGTGTGCACCGGAAGCTTTCCACAGACCCTGAGGCCAGCCGAGCTGTGCCCCTAGAACACAAGAATAGCTACTGTTTTGAATCTTTGTAACTGATGTTTGTAGTTTTCAGTGTGTTAGTTGGCCTTTCTGAGCCAGGTGGCCTTCAGGAGGAGGCTGCAGGTTTGGGGAGGGGGCTCTGTGCTATAAAGAAACCCTAGATGAAAGTGACTACGTCCCCAGGATTTTGAAGGGAAGGCCTTGCCTGGTGAAGTGGACCTGGATTTAGCCTTCGTTTTTACCCTGAAGGTAGTGGAGTCACGAGAAAACAGGCTTGTTAGAACTGTTGCGCATTAACAGGCTAATTTTTGGAAACAGACATGTGCTGGCCTGTCCCTTAGTAGCCCACCGTTTAACCCACTATGCCACCAGGACTCCTTAAAGGGAAAGGCATCACTGAGACTTGACACTGGAACACTAGATTCAGAGTCCCGCATGCCCACCGTCACACCGTAGAATCGGCTCTTACTGGGAAGTGCTTTTGTGTTTACATGAGCTCTCTGACCCGATGGTCCGAGAGGCTGTGGGCCACAGGGGAATTGTACCCACTCGCAGATGAGAAAGGATCAAAGCAACGAAACGATTTGCCATGTTCCCTGAGTTAGCGGTGACAACGTGGCCCAGGTGGCCATGTCTCCCGCGGTAGCTCTCAGCTCTTCTGCTGCCAGCTGCCCAGGTCCCTCCAGGAGGACTTCAGGTACTGCTGACTGAATCTGAACTAGAACCGGAGCCACCGTGAGCTGTCTCCCATCTCAGGTGTGGGTGGCAGATAAGTGTCCCTGGGGGCATGAGCAGGATGTGCCGCTCTGGAGGGCACTGAAGTGACCAGAGTGTGGAGATGGGATGGAGCGCGTGGCGTGGATCATGTGGTTCCCCAGGGCCATGGAAGGTGTGCTGACTGAACCACAGTGCATGAAGTCTCAACGCATAGACCCTGGGTACAACATACCCAGCCGCTGCCGGTCCTGCAGACCTCACAGTTGTTGCTACACCTGAGCCATCACTTGCACTCGTTGCCCACACTAGCCCACTCTAGGAAGTGTCCACTTGTTACAGCTGCTCTTGATCCATCGTTGAAAATCTGAGGCCACTCAGAGAGGTGAAGCCAAGTTTCAGGTTTATTAAGCCAGCTGGCTCAGAGGAGCTAACTTCTCCAGATCCTGAGCCCTGAATGCAGGTCAGCACGGGCGTATATGGGTCAGAATCCGGGAGGGGCTAGGTTGCGGATCTGTTTGAAGACAGGTGGGAAACCAGAGGATTAGTCTCTCTCAGAGACCTGATTAGCATTCTAGCTTGTTAACTAACATTAATGTTTCACAGTTCCTGTTCACAATGTTGTTGTTAGGTGCCATCGCTCTTACACACAGCAGATGAAACACTGCCCGGATCCTAGGCCAACCTCACCATTGTGACCACGTTTGAGCCCATTGATGCTGCTATTGGCCAAACCATCTCGCTGGGGGTTTTCTTCTTTTTCTCTGACCCTCCACCTTACCAAACATGATATCCTTTTCCAGCGACTGGTCCCTCCTGACAATGTGTCCGAAGTATAAGAGAAGAAATTTGGCCATCCTGGCCTCCAAGGAACACTCTGGCTGCACTTCTTCCAACACAGATCTGTTGGTTCTTTTGGCAGCCCATGGCACTTTCAATATTCTCCTCCAACACCACAACTCAAAAGCATCAATTCTTCTAGTCTTCCTTATTCACTGTCCAGCTTTCGCATGCATATGAGGTTATTGAAAATACCATGGCTTGGGTCAGGCGCACCTTAGTCCTCAAGCTGACATCTTTGCTCTTCAGCACTTTCATAAAAGGTCTTGTGCAGCTGATTTGCCTAATGCAATACGTCCTTTGATTTCTTGACTGCTGCTTCATGAGTGTTGATAGTTGATCCAAGAAGAATGAAGTCCTTGACAATTTCAATCTTTTCTCCATTGACATGAATGTTGTTTATTGGTCCAGTGGTGAGGATTTTTGTTTTCTTTTCATTGAGATGTAATCCATACCGAAGGCTGTGCTCTTTGATCTTCACCAGTAAATGTTTCAGCAAGCAAGGTTGTTTCGTCTGCATATTGCAGGTTATTAATGAGTCTTCCTCTAATCCTAATGCCATGTTTTTCTTCATAGAACACCCAGCTTCTTGGATGATTTGCTCAGCATACAGGTTGAATAAGTATGGTGAAAGAATACAACTCTTTCGCACACCTTTCTTAATTTTAAAATACTCAGTGTTCCCACATTCTGTTCGAACAACTGCCCCTTGGTCCAGGTACAGATACCTCATGAGCACAATTAAGTGTTCTGAATTGTCATGATCCACACAATTGAAAGCCTTTGCGTAGTCAATAAAGCACAGGTAAACATCTTTCTGATATCCTCTGTTTTCATGGAGAAAATTTTGCAATATTGTGAAAATGACTGAAATGCTACAGAGAGACAACATGAGACTGTGTTGCTGGGAAAACGGCACCAGGTTCCCACAGTCTTCCACCCGTCATCACTGCAGCCTGCCAACGCAGGACACTTGTGTGTGTTTCCTCCCCGGAAACTGGTCTCGGCCTAACCCTCTGGCTCTTCTTGTTGCAGGCTCTGCGGTTTCTACAGGAGAATTCCTCACGGTATCACTTCAGACGCACCAAAAGGTTGCCGGTGAGCGGTGGGTTTCACACCCGCCTCATGGAGCCCGCAGTAGGGCGGCTGACGGAGGTGCTACAGACGCTCACCTGGAAGGAGCCCCTGGTGCCTGTGCACTGCAACGTTCATGGGGGTAAATACACGCACTCGAAGCACATCCCCAAGCTGCTGGTGAAGCAGCTGGTTTCCCCAGTGAAGTGGGAGCAGACCATGCACGCCATCTACGAGAGGAAAAAGGGGACGGAGTTCCCCAGAACGTTCGAGGTGGGCCCGGGGAAGCAGCTGGGGGCTGTCCTGAAAAGCTGCAACCTGCAGGCCTGGAAATCCTATAGCCACGTGGAGGTGCTGGAGGCCTGCGAGGCCCAAGACCTGTAGGGGCCCAGGCCCACCTTCTCAGCAAAGTGCTCGTAGGCAGCATCGAAAGAAACACAAAAAGCAAACATTACTATGCTTGTGAGACTGTCCACCCGTTTCCCCTTGGAAGGTGCTCCGGGAAGAAGACGCCACGGTGATAGAGACCTTGGTGAAACTCACTCGGCCTCGGCCAGTGTTGTCACCTCAAACAGTCCCTCAGCACCTCTCAGGTTCAAGCTCGTCCAGAAAACGGGCCCAAGTGGGTTGTTCTCAGGCTCAGATGAGGTGGTTTGTGAAGCCCTGAAGGGGCCATGGGTCAGGTCCGCACCAGAAGGCCCAAAGCCTTGTCCTCAAGTCAATTCAGCCAGCACCCTCCGTGACAGCTATGGGGCCAGTCTCGCGTTGGTCCATTTATCCCACCTACTGCGTGCCCGCTGTAGCCTAGGGTGCGTGAATGGCCCCTGTCCTGCTGTGTGGCGCAAGCTTGTGAGAAGACCCTGGGTGAGCCCCCACTTCCTGACTGAGGAGACCTGTCCTCAGACGTCCGTTAGTACCCACTAAATGAGTCTGAGCTGCCCGGGTGGCTCCTCATGAGGTAGTGCTGGGGGGATGTCGGGAATGGGGGAGGACAGCTCTGGCCGGTCCTGCCTTCAGAGTACCAGGAGGGAGGAACTTGTTCTTAAAAGTTTCATAAAATTTCAAACACTTACAGGGACCTTTATTTAAAAAATGCTTTCCTGGGTCCATTCGAGACCCCTTGCCCTGAGAGCTTGGAAGGGGGCTGCTCTCCAAAGTTCAGCTCTGGCTGGTAGGTCAGTACCTTAGGGTTATGGGCATTGAAACGTGCCAAGTGTTCTCTGGCAATCTGAGGTGGTCTCAGTGTCCCTGTACCCCCCTCCTCAGGGTCTGGGTAGTTCTTTCGTGGCACCACCTTAAGGAGGAGTCCAGAAAGCTGTCCCACCTTGGGGTGGAGAGGTGGGTTCCACCTCTCACTAAGGGGAGGGTGCAGACTGCATTTAGAAAGTGAGGGCAGGGTAGTGACTAGACAGGATCCTGATCAGATGGGGACTGGGAGCTGGTGTACTCGGGGCACTCGAGCCCAGTCCTCAGGTCACAGAACCGCATCAGCCCTGGGAAGGCGAGACTCACCTGTATGACAGGGGCTCATCTGGCTGCTGAGTGTCCCCACGGGACTCCACCATCTCACCCCCCCTCCTGGGCCACATTCCCTGGAGGCTGAGCCCCAGGCGGCCCAAGGGCCTGAACACAAAAGGTGGTCAGTGTGTCCACTGCCCCACTTCCTCCTCCCCCAGCATCATTCCGCCCATGAGCACTCCCTGTCCTGTTGGCCCCCTCCTCCTCTCCACCTCTGACAGTTGTTCCCTCCAGAGTTGGCCTCCCCATTAGAACAAGAGCTGAGTGGGGACCAGGTCTGGTTCACAAGAGCCCCAGGCTCCCTAAGCAGAGCAGCCAGCTGCAGGCCCCCCTCCCTGTGACCACACCCAACCAGCAGGGTGTCCTAGATGATGAACCCTAGGACTTGATGCCCAAAGAAAATCCTTAATAGTGGGTGATTCAGGACACCCCAGAGCCTTTTTTTCCTAAGCGCCATCCAGTCGATTTGGACTCAGCGACCCTGTAATAGGGTTTCCCAGAAGTAGCTGGTGGGTCTAAACCGACAACCTTTCCATTAGCAGTCCAGTGCTTGTCCTCAGCGCCACACCAGGACCCCACTGGGAAGATAATAAAGGTAGACTTTGCAAACCTGCTATGTCACGTGTCAGGCATGGTGGCCTTTGGGGTCCTTAGAGCAAACCTCATGGAGCCCCTCAGAGCAGACTGGGTGGGGTCAGTAGAGAAAGGACCAGAGATCAAGTGGAAATTAGCTTTTATTTGGCTCTCTGTGCCTCACCGAAGTCCGTTCCAGCATGTTTTCTCTCCCCTTTGATTTGGGGATCCCAGATGCGGAGGTGTGACCAGCACTCCCCCCGCTGCCCACCATGAGGACCCATCCTGGGGAGGAAGGATCCTCCTTCCCCGGGACAGGCTGTCTCACAGAGAGCCAGGCACAGCCAGGCCTGGGCACGGGCCACTAACCAGTAGCGGCCACAGGTAGAAGGAATTCATTTCTCTCTTAAAAAAACAATCCCCAAAAACTCCAGTATGAAACCTCAGCAGTGGCCCAGCACTACCTCAGGGGTTAAATATAAAAACGGGAGCATGGGAAAACCACAGTTAGAAACAGCCAAGACATCAAAATAGGGCCACATGCCACCTCCAGGGTGGTGTCACCGGGGCGGGGCCAGCCCCACCCAAGCTGCCAGGTGGTGTCACTGGAACAGGATGAGGTGAAGCACCACACCGAGGAAGAGGAAGAGCAGCGAGGACAGAGGCACCTGTCTGCACACCTGTGGGAGGAGGGGGAGTCAGTGCCATGGCCCCTGCAGCTCCCCAACTCCACACCTGCCCTCCTGGGCACGCGGGGACAAGCAGGGGAGCCCCCAGTACACACAGATCAAGGGGTGGGGGGCTGAAACCTGAGAGAGAAGTAGAGAGGGAACTGGGACCCTGAGGGCTGCTTAAGTGTAGGGCAAAGATAACAATGAAAAGTGGGCCAGAGCACCCATTCTGTACCGGGAGGAGTGGGGAGGGTGGGCGCCCCAAAAAGACTGATTAGGAAAGCAACTCAGAGGACGCACCTTCCCTGAGCCCAGATCACGGGCAGAGGGAAATCACTCCCTCAGTCTCTGGTGCCTGCATTCAGCAACCCTGGAGGAGTCTCAGACCCAAAGACCTTTGGGACCAGACAGGTAGTGTCAAGTGAAGGGTGAAGCAGGTGAGAACAGGAAGTGGTAGGGACTGAGGCTCCAAATGGTCACTACACGCAGGGTGTGGGGGACAAGTCAAGCATGCGATCAGTTTCCCGAGGCGCTCTTACCCAGTTCCCGCGGGCCAGCAGTCTCCGAATCCACATGTACTCCTTAAGCTTGGTGAGACAATTGTTAAAACTTCTGAAAACACTCCTCATGCCAGTCTGGACGTAATTGAAAACTAAGCTGCCAAACAACGGGAGCAGAGAATGGTCATTGCTGCAGAGATGGAGGAAACAAAACAGTCCCCTCCCACCCCCACCCTGGCCCCCTTCCCTGGGGGCCCCACTAAGGAGGTCCTTTCTCCATGGGTGACAACCCAATCCAATCTGATTTTCTGTAAGAAAAGGGCCTCTAGTGCATTAAATCTGCCAGCTCCTCCCCACCCTGGGATTTTAGCCTTGCCCACTGGAACCTGAAAGGAGCTCTGGTAGAGTATTGGTTATGAATCGGGCTGTGAACCGCAAGGTCAGCAGTTCGAAACTACCAGCTGTTCCGTGGGAGAAAGATGAGGCTTTCTGTTCCTCTAAAGATTTACAGCCTCGGAAACCCTGTACAGGGTCGCTATGGGTCGGAACCGACACCACAGCACATAACAACTGGAGCCTGGTGAGAAGAAAACACACACCCAGCTTTCCCTGGAATGGGGGTGGTATCGGGGGGAGTCATCCTGCAGAGGGGCTTCATGTTGACTGGCACCCTGGTAGTCCCAAAGCCGGGCTGGTCCACTGCCTGCCTCCTTTGAGGACTGAGACTACATGGTGTTGCCCAAAACACACGCAGTCTTAATCCCTATACGGAGCCCTGCATGGAAACAGTCTTTGCAGTTCTGTCGGTTAATATGACACTATCCAAACTGGTGGTGGTCGTGATGGTGGGCTGTGTGCACTGGAGTTGATCCTACTCAGCTCTTTACAAATTTGCAAGGCTGTAAATCTTTACGGGAGCAGAAAGCCTCATCTTTTAGTTTCAAACTGCTGATCTTTTGGCTAGCAGCATGATGTACTGTAGCCCACCACACTGTCAGGGCTCCTGACAGCAACCTGAGTGATGTGGTGGTGATGTGCCATGGACTCAGTTCCAACGCAGCAACCCTGCATAGGGTTTCCGAGGCTGTAAATCTTTACGGAGCAGAAAGCCTCATCTTTCTCCCGTGGAACAGCTGGTACTTTGGAACTGCTGACTGAGGTTAGCAGCCTGACTCATACCGTAACTCCCTTTATACCAGAGTAAACCCAAAAAAACCCCAAAGTCACTGCTGTTGAGTCTATTCTGACTCATAGAAACCTTAACACGAAGGCGTAGGGCTGCTCATTTAGGATTGTAAATCTTTATGGCACCAACAGCCTCATCTTTCTCCTAAGGATCAACTAGTAGGTTCAAACCTACAACCTCACAATTAGCAATGTCAACACTTAACCCACAACACCACCAGGGCTCCTTTACACCCAGAGTAAGGTGGGCCCCAATCCCGTATGGCTAGTGAACAGGCACAGAGGAGGGAATGACAGCTACAAGCTAATGAACACCTGGAAAACTGCAAAAAGACAAAAACCTTCCCAGGAGCAACCTATTTCGACTCATAGTACAACCGCCCCATAAGGTTTTCAAGGTGGTAATCTGTCCATCTGTCTCCCACAGAGCAGCTGGAGGACTCAAACCACTGACCGTCCAGTTAATAGCTAAATGCTTCAACTACGGCACCACCAGGCCTCCTTGTGGAGAATATGCCCCCTGACAATATCCCGAATTCAAACTTATCCCCAGGAGGGTCTGTCAGTTTGTAGTGCCGCGGTGGCTTGTGTCTCGCTGTGATTCTGGAAGCTACGCCACCAGTATTTGAAATAGCAGCAGGGTCCATCCATGGTGGACAGGTTCAAGTGGAGCTTTCAGACTAAGACAGACTAGGCAGAAGACCACAGCCATCTGACTCATAGCAACTCTGTATAGGGTTTCCAAGGAGCAAATAGAGACCACCTCAGCAGAACACTGATGATGAAAGACCACACAAATTGTGGGATGAACATGATACATGAAGAAAGCAAAACATCACGACAGGAATGAATGAAAGACCAAAGTGGATGTCAGAAGAGACTGAAAGTAGTGGAAATGGAGAGCAGCTGAAGTGAAAGGAAGAGTCATATCCCTTCT